TCTCTTTCTTATATAACATATTATCTATATGCTCCCACTCATTAATTAAATATTTTAAATATTAGATATCGTAGAACCTCTTGTGGAATCTTTTTTCTTAGGTGCTGACAATCAACCACCATGCTCATCGAGAGAAACAATTAGGTAAATTTTAATAATTTATAGCCATCTAAGTTTTATTGTATGAAAACTAAAACTATAATTATTTTTTATTTTTTATTTATAATACATATGTTTTATTAAATTTTTTTAGCAAAATGGTGGATTTGAGGGATAATGAAACTAATTATTGGGGTACTGAAAAAGTTTTACATAACTTGACATTTGATGAATTTATATGTAGTAATCAAGAAACCAAATATGAATTTTAATTTAAAATTTGATTGAATATATGAGTTTTGAAAAATCAGCGTATTTCATCCGTTTCGAATATTGGTTTTAACAGTTTTAAAAATTAAATATTATTATTTAAATGTTATAACAGACCATGCGATGTAAATGAAAGTTCGGGAAGACGAATAGTGGATATACTTCCAACAGGTACAAAACTTAACCCATTAGTCCCCAACGTTGCGTAAACGCAACATTTATAAAATTGGTTTTTTTTTTAGTATGTTATTGAACAAAATTATTTTTAGCTATCACAAATTACTCTCAACAGGACATTAATTACAGTTTTTATGAAATAATTCGATATTTTTAAAAAGTTTAATTTCTGAGTATTTATAAACTATTAAGAATTTTGGAATTTCCTATAACATATTTTCGTCGATTTTTTTTCTCAACTCATAATAAAATTGGATTTCCCTTATTATCAATTTACATTTACAAAGTCTTTAGTAAAATAAAAATAATATCATATTTAACTTTATATTTATAGTTTGTAAATAACTGGCTGGTTTTTTTATTGTTGCGTCTACGCAACGTTGGGATTCCTAGTGTGACTATATAATCGCTAATGTGTCATGTCTTCAGAGGCACGTGTAGCAAAAGTGTTTCAGTTTATTTTGATAATTCGTAGTGAATAGTTGAATGAGTAAGTAATAAAATAACTGTGTCGATTAGTGAAGTGCAGTCTTAAAAAATATTGAATCGAAGTAAGTGTATTACGCAATTTATTTATTTACTATACTTTTTTCCTAAAATAATTTGTAGTGATATATATTTGTATTTATAGTGATGTCTTGGAAAAACGAAAGACCTCTGTCAACTGCTGAACTCTTAGCCATATTAGAAGAAGATGAGGATTTATTTCAGACTGATTCCGTTGATGCCGTGTATATTCCGCCACCTGTAGACGAAGTCACAGACGAAGAAGAGCTTGATGACGACTTACGTGAAAATGTGATAAATTTACCAGATGTCGCGGGAACTTATGAAATACATGCAAGTTTACCTAATTCTTCTGAAGATTTGGACAGTGAATTATTACCATCAAGTTCAATAAAATCAAAGGTTAGTAAAAAAAACATAAATAAGTCAAAGACAGCTCTTCCAAAGTGGAAGAAAGAGGTTCCAGTGTAAACAACAGCGCCACAGAATAAAGAAAAAATAAATTTGGAAGACATTGAAAATAGAATTGGTGGTAAAACTCCTTTTGAAGTTTTTTCATTGTATTTCAGTGACGATGTTTGGGAAAAAATAATTTCTTATACAAAAAAATATGCTTGTGATAAAAATCGGCATTCATTTATAATTGACAAAACTAGCCTAAAGCGTTTTTTTGGTATACTTATTTTTTCGGGGTATCATACGTTACCAGCTACAAAACTATATTGGTCTAAAGACGAGGATAAAGGAATACCATTAGTTAGAAACAGTATGAGTAGGAACAGATTCGATTCCATAAAGCAAAACTTACATTTATCAGATAACGACCAACTCGATAAAAATGACAGATTTTCAAAACTAAGACCTCTTTTTGATTTAATAAATGAAAAAAATATGCAGTTTGGAGTATTTTCTCATAACCTATCAATCGATGAGGAGATGGTGCCATATTTTGGACGACATAGATGTAAGATGTTTATCAAGGGAAAACCAATCAGATTTGGCTTCAAATTATGGTGTCTCTGTAGTTCCAATGGTTACTTATACAAATGTATACCTTATGGTGGGAAAACAAGCACTTATAATAATGAATTAGGTTTAGGAGCAAATGTTGTACTAGAGCTATTGTCAGTTGTTCAGCACCCATCTCTTCATCGCGTATTTTTTGACAATTTCTTTTCATCATACAAATTATTCTGTTTACTGAAAGAAAGAGGGTTTTACGCTACTGGAACAATACGTGAAAATCGTACATGTAATAACACGATAGAAACTGTAAAAAATTTGAAGAAAAAAGATCGTGGTACTTATGATTTTTCTTTTGAAAATAATCAAAAAATATTGTTGGTCAGATGGAACGACAATTCTGTGGTGACTGTTGTCACTAATAACAGTACTATTGAACCTCTTGTGGGCGCAAAACGGTACAACAGAAAAGAAAAAAAGGCTGTTTCAATTTCTCAACCAAAAGTTATAGCTGAGTATAATCAACATATGGGAGGTGTTGATTTGCATGACAACGGAATATGTAATTACAGAATCAACGTAAAAGGAAAAAAGTGGTGGTGGCCCCTCTTTGTAAATTTGATCGACAGTGTAATTGTAAATGCCTGGAAAGTACACAATTTAGCAAACAAATCAAAAATGTCACAGTTAGATTTTAAGTCTTACATAGCAGTCGCTCTTATGAAAATGAATGAACCAGCCCCTGAAAATAATATTCAAGACCAAGATACTTCGGGACCAAGTAACCAAATAAACTTGTCTTTCAATCCAAATTATGGGCGACCATCTAAAAGCGCATTACCCGTAGAAATTCGAGTTGATAATTTCGGTCACGTGATAGTAGAAGATAAAAATAAAGCAAGAAGACGATGTAGACAGTGTAAAAGCACCACTATATACAAGTGTGTCAAGTGTCAAGTGCATCTTCACGCAAACTGCTTTGAAAAATTTCACACTAAATAATAATTATAATAACATTGGTAATCCTAACGTTGCGTATACGCAACATTTTGTTGTAAAAAAACTAAAAAGCTATAATTTTTTTTCACTATATAAATTGTTATTTGAGTATATACTAAGAAATAAAGTGCAGTAAAAACATAAAATTAGTTTTTTTTCCTTACCTCGGGGATTAATGGGTTAAGTTATCAGACAATTACGGCATTGATGCTTTTAAAGGTGAAACTATCTGGTCAAACAATAACATAAACTGTGAAGAACACGATTTCAGTATCCTATATAATAGACCAGCGTCATTAATTACGTCAAATACTATTAATGAAAGTTCAAATACATATACTTATATTGTGGAGACTGACAAAATAGTCTTTGCTTTAAAAAAAGTCAAAAAAACGTTCGCTTGCACAGGAATCCCAGTTATTCAGAACTGAACATTTGCAGTTATTAATTTTAACAGAACCTACATTTTTTAATTATTTCACACGAAAAACCATAACTGCTCAAAATACTGATTTATTAGATTACATAAACACAAAATTTGTTTATGTCGAAAATGTCTTCAAATCAACTATTACATCGTTGTATAACGATATACTACTTAAACAATGTGAGCTAGACAGTAAATTACTTTAGGAACGACTCACATTAGCATCTTCTAGTCTTTCAGAATTGGCATATTTAATGGGCGGTAGACCAGGGTTTACCGCAATAAAAGTCAATGAAATTATCTACTTGATAAAATGTAAAAAAGTCAACGTAGAAATTTCACAAAAAAAGAAATTGTTTTAATGAACTGCCAGTATTATATAACAACAAAACATTATTTATGGCGCCCAAAACCCATATTTTACAGCAATTTGGAACACAGGTGGACTGCAATGTGCTTTTACCGCCTGCGTTCGAATTGGGTGGTGAATGGTTTGCCGTTCTGCCAAATATTCAAGAAATTAAAAAACCACAAAGGCTTAAACCGACCATGTCCTGGACACGGTCGTAAAAAAGTTAGGAATTTCTTATGAATGCAGGTATATATACGCAGGATACAATGAAAGCTTTCCAATAGCATATATTGTTCCCGCAAGAAGTGAAAGCTGCTACAAACAATATAATCAGACAATCTATGGGATATGATACCACTAACCAAGGTCTGCAATTCAAATATTTGATAGATGAAAACACGCTTGGAAAAATGGTAGAAGATAATTTATTTAAAATATGGGATTGGTTTACGACAATTGGAACTTTTGTATCTGGGCTAATGGGAATATTCTTTGTTGCAAAATTAGTATTAACTATTGTTGACACAGGTATTAATATAACTTTTTTTTATCAAACCTTTGGGTGGAGTACAAAGCTTTTAGCAGGATTTTTTTCTAGCATTACCCATAACTTAATACTCCGGTCTCATAAACAAAAATACAATAAAAATTAAGAGTTTGATGATGACTCTTTGGAAAGAAAAAATGTTCGGCGTTATAATAATAAAACCAATATTTATTCAAATCTTCCGTTTGAAATGGTTTAAAACCGTCAAAATTAAAAAATAAAAAATATTTGTACCTATTTTGATTTAAAAATATTTGTATCATATGTATTTATTAATATATTAAATTACAACACAAAATAAATACATAAAATGTTAATTGCATAATGTTATGTATTATATTTCATTTCATTATTGTACACATAACTATGCAAATTTTATATAGATAATTTCACGTACATATTATGACATTTTTAAAATTAAAGTATAGGTGTAATATAATATTATAGTTAGTCAGTTATCCATTATCTGTATGAACGCTAGCATTAATTTAAGTCATCAATTATTATAAATTGTCATTAATCCAAATGTTGTGTTTTAATTAATTATTATGTATAAATAAATGTGTTCTGTACATTTGTAAGTACCTACATAATTTAATTTTAATTTATATATATTATATGAACAATAAAAATGTTTAGTTTATACATATTGTTTTTTTTACATATAGATATTGCAATTGCAATAATATAAATAATTATATTATTACAGTAGGTATTTATTTAATAAATATTATGTACAACAATCAACTTCATATTTTATGTAGGTATTATGTTTAAAATTAAAATAAGTAAATACATCAATATTTACTAATCAGAACTATTTAAAATGTTATTAATAAATAAAAATTAAATTATCGAACAAAAATTGCTTCATGTCATTTATAAGTTACAACGTAAAATACGTAACACTTTTACTAAAAAATCTATTTAATCGTAATGAAATTATTATTTTACATGTATTTTAAAAAGTAATTGGGTTAGAAATATAAATTGAGTTCTGGTGTATAATAATTTGTATGCTTAATTTATTGGTTAATATTTTTAAGCAAACAGGAGCTTTAATTAAAAAATAGGTTTGGGACTTGCGAGCTAGTAGCGAGTCAGCGCACCGTATAGAATTCACGGGCGACAATTTACGTAACGGCCTGTAATGACGTTTGACGCGAAACGTTCTAAACGACAGTCTGTGAAATAATAATGTACCTCTCCCGCAATAACAACACACGGACCCCGTCGCGTACACGATGGGCGTGGTTACGGCCTACCGCGACGGCGGCGATATGAATTTTACGCCATCTCTTGAGCGTTGTATACGTTTCACTTTTACTGTGACGCCCTCTTAATTGTAAGTGAAGACAAATTTAACCATACTTACTTATAATTTATAAAAATGAAAATTTTAACAAATGATTATTATTATATGGGTATTTTTGTATATTATTACTATTATTGTAAAATGTTTATTTACTATTATTTATTAACGAAAATAAATGTCGAATATTGAATTATATTATGTAATTAATAATTATTATTAATATTTTATATTCTGATAAGTATAAAAATCATTGATAAGAATTTATGTTGTCGAAATATCAAGTCCTGGCGCATTCTTGATAAGGACTTTGAACGTTGAAATTTTTCCCGGCGCAGATCTAATCGTCAAAGTTGTACATATCCGGTACACGTGCGACGCTACGCCATCTGTGAGATGAGAAATATTTTGTTTTATAAAGTACCGCCTTTTTTTAAATTGTATAGATTATCTGAATAATATTATGATCTTTAAAATGTTAAATACATTTTGTAGATTTGTTTAGGTGTTCATTTTTTTAGTAGCAGTTTTTTATCCAAGGTAGTATTAAAATACCTTTCTATTGTGGTATTGTACTAACAATGATATTGGTTTTTTTTACATTTCTTTAAATTATTCTAAGCCGAATAGTTTTCAAGATAGATTGTTTACATTTAGGTATAATTGGAACCATAAGTGTGTATATGAGGATGGCATATAATTGTATTACTAATTTACTATGCAATTTGTTATATCTTTTTAATAATCTTATTATAACCATGTTTAACTTCAAAAAAATAAATAAATATATATATATATATCAACTTATGTTTGTTTATTCATCACTGTTTCCTTTCTAAATTAGTGTTCAGTATCTTAAACTTATTAAATTTATCGTAAAAACACAGAAAATAATATTATAAGTACCCGGGTACCTAGATCGTCATTAAAAGGTGTTTTTTGTCTCAATCACATAAAGATTAAGCAGTAATTATATTCTGATAATATTCTATAAATAGTATCATTATTATCTTGAACTGTGTTGTTAATAATTGTTTTTCAAAAATTAAAAAGTAAAATTTAACTTGGGCAAAATTGTAAAAATAAAAATGGGTCGTAAATGTAGTGTGAAATTGTATGAAAGTAATAAGACTACTGAACACATAACTTTATTTTCGATTCCAAAAGATCAAATATTGTATGAAAAATGGACAAGTATTGTTAACGCTTGGAATTGCGATAATACTAAAGTAAAGTATTTATGCCATCAACATTTTGAAGATAGTGATATTAACAAAACATATGACGCAGTACCGTACCCAGGATTTGTTTTCGGGTTGGGGGGGGGCTTAAACATTCATACTTAACTCTACAGGAAAATAGGAAATAATTTAAAAACATATATATATATATAGTATACACATACTATTTAATGTAATATATATTTAATAATTAAATTGTCATAATTTTAAATTTAAGCGTCTTTCTTTTTTTGAAGCAAACTTGTTTAAAATAATATCTATATCAATTGGTAAGTCTCTGTGTATATTCATAAGTGCTAACCCATTTAATCTTGCCTCGCCGGTAGAGTTTCTTAAATATGTTTTAATTCTCTTTAAAGAAGAAATACTTCTTTCAACCGATGCCGTTGATACAGGCAAAATAGCAAGAAGTTTTAGTAAAATATTTATATGTGGGAATAAATCTTCGGGACATTTTGATAATGTGTCTAATGCATTTTTTGGTAAGTCATTTTCTTCATTAGACCATTTTTGCTTCCAAAATTCAAATTAATTTTTTAATAAGTCCATATGAATGTTTTGATTATTAGATCTTAAATCTTCTTCATAAAAATCAATAGCTGGCTGTATATCACTAAATGATAAATTACAAATTTTGCTAGGTAATAAAGAAACAAAAATATTAGAGTTAATTTTAAAACGTTCATTAAATGATGCTAGAATATCATCTAAATATGGATAATATAATGATTGTCTGTAATAAGAAACATGGTCATTATTGAGTATTACATAATTTTCTCGATGTTTTTGAGTCCCGACTACTCTTGGTATGGTTGGTGATGTACCAACTTCTTTTGCAATTTCACAAGCACGATGAAATATAGAAATAAAAGTTTCTTCCGTCCGTAAATCTTGTAATTTTTGAATTGTCAATTCTACAGATTCTATAGCAATGGCTAAATCTATATTTTCTGTTTGAAGATATTTAGAAATAAAATAAGTTATTCCCAGGACCTTTTCCAAAATACAGATAGTTATAATAAAATTAAAATTACACATGGATTTATGTAATGGAAAAATTGCTTTGTCATGTTCTATTGACATAAGTTCTTCCAATGCACTTATTATTTCAATAAAACCTTGAACTAAAATTAAAATTGATTCATGTCGTTACACCCATCTAGTCTCGCAAAATTTGTTCAACCCAGAAAAGGATTTACATTCTAATTTTTTCCGTAGTATAGTTGACCGTTTAGCTGATGCACGAAAACATGCACTTACTTCCTGTACAACTCCCAGAGCATTTCTCACTTGTTGCACTTTTGATGCATCGTTAAGAAATAGGTTAAACAATGAACAAAACAGTGTGTGTATAGTGCTTTTGGAAATTGTTTCATTATAACTGCTTGAACTCCTCTAAATGCAGATCTCATATTTGCTGCACCGTCATACCCTTGTCCTCGAGCATTTTCTAAATTTAGTCCTAAAGATGTCAAAGTACTTATAATTGTATTGGCCAATTCAGATCCTACAGTACTATCGACAGGAACAAATTGTAGAAAATCTTCTCTTACTATATAAGTATTATCTTTTTCAATACTTGAACTTTTTTCTAAGTATCGTATGCATAATGAAAACTATTCAATATGGCTTATATCTGTTGTCTCATCAGCCAATATTGTAAAGTATTTTTCCTTTCGTATTTTATCACAAATAGAATGCTGTATATATTCAGAAATAATAGAAACAATATCATTCTGAACATTAGCACTTATATAAGACGCATTCTTGTTACACTCCTGTATGTGATTTAAGAATAAGTTATCACCGCTTTGAATTCGATAGCGTAATAAGCTTCTAAAGTTACCATCATTTTTTATTGGAGAATTTAGACCAAGTTCACCAAAATCATGTCCACCTCTAACAGCTAATCCTTGCCTTCCGCATAACTCAATTGTTTTAATTATTGTTTTTAGAACTTCTCTATTATTTTTAATCTCCTTTTCATTTCTTTTACGCATTTGAATAATTTCATCATTTTGTTTTTGATCAATAATTTTTGAAAATTCAACAGCTTTTAGTTTAGAATACTTGTGATACTCATTGTTTTGGTGATTATTGAAGATCCTAATGGCATGTTTCCAATTACAGAAAGGTTGAGTGACTAAAGATGTAGGTGAAGAATGCATGCCTTTCCCAGCATATTCATTTTTGTAGAATAACACACAGTATTTACAAAATGCTCCTTTTTCAATATTTGAAAATGCTAACCAAGACCATCTTTGCAACCATGATATATTAAACATTCTTAACTGATTTCCAAATGTTTTAGCCTTAAATTTGTAAATGTTGTCAGGTTTCCATATGTTTTTTAAAACATCAGCTAACTCTAAATCATTCAGTCGTACTGGTTTATTTTTTTTTATGCAAGAGCCAATATCATATTTATAATATGATATTTATAATATTTATAATATTTATAATATTTATTGCTGACTGGATTTAATTCCTAAAAATATAAGTTATTATGATATAAACATGCAACATGCAATATTAATTTGCAAAAAGCCATGTATAAAAAAAAGCTATATACTTATAATAGGTACTATAATATTTGGAAAAAACTTTTTTTCAGAATTTACTAATGAAATCCATCAATTTTATTAGATAATTATAAATATGAATGCATAAAATTTTCAAAAATGTTCCTAACACTGCTAATAGATAAGGTTGTATTCCCCAAAATAATTATTTTACTTGCTGGATTTAAATTGTTATATCCAAAAATATTTAAAACAGCAAGTATCATTCATCATGCAGTTTTTATTTGTGAAAACCAAAATACCAAAAAAGAAGTAGCTGGTTAAATATTTTAAAAACAACTAAATAATTTAGGAGAAATACTAAAAAATGAATTGATAAGAAATTTTTAAGCTAGCAAAGCATTAAAAATAATTTAAATAAGCATTGGTGCATTTATACTACAAAGTGCAAAGTACAAATAACATATTTGATTATAACAGCATTATACAAATTTTTTTACAATACCTGAATTATTACCTATTTAATATAGTTCTAAAATTATTATCAAATTTAATAATAAAATGTTAGGTTTTCACATGTTTTTAACTATTAAATAACATGAATCTAACAAAATATGTACTGACTGTTGATTTTTAGAAACATTAATTCTGCATAACTGTATAATTAATTGTATAACTCAACATAAAAATTTAAATTATATGTACATAATACAATTAATTTTAATTCATACCATTTCTGCTTCTGTAGAATGATCTATATTTTGGCTGGCTGAGTTAACAGAAATACTGCCTCTAAATTAGTACTGACCTAAAAGGTAAAATTCATGTATACTTATATATTTTAGGTATTAGTCTAATGTGTGATCTTCCAATTGTTAGTGATCTACATTTTAACGTTTACAGTAGGATGTATGATCTATTATGATTAATTTAACATTCATGAGTATATAAATATATGTACGCATATAATATTAAATATATTGTATATTCAAGTACCTAACTTACCTGTTCATTGATACAAATATTTGAATTGGTTACATTTGAAGTAAAATATGAGTACAATGTTTTAATTTTTTTTTCTTGGGTTCATCTTCATTTTCATTCATTCTGTTGTTTTATATAATACTGTTTTCAATAAAACTAACACACTACACCGAGTACACCAGTGGCGCAACCAGGATTTTTTTAAGGGGGGGGTCCCAAAAATATAATTATTTTAAGTAGCATGCAAATTTAATTATTATAAAACATAAAAAATGTTATGTATAATAAAATTTATACTTGTAACAATAAAATTATTTTGGTATAAATGAAGTATAATAATAAAAGTATAATATAAGTATAATATTTATAATTATAAGATGAAATAGCAATACGTAACTGAACGAAGTAGATCAGA